GACAAATGCCCGGTGGGCTGGTGCATTTGACACATTTTTAGCAATTGATTTTAAATTTTAATTGTTCAACCAGTATTCAGCATGTGATACTGCTTGGGCTGGTCCTTTAATGCCAATCTGCTGCGGCAAAAAGGGCTATTTTACTGAAAAAATACTAGAAACTTTTATTGTAAAAACTTAAGGTGTCAAGGTATTCCTTTTATTTAATACATCACTACATGTATAGAAAGTAAGCTCACCAAAAGATAAAACACTGGTTGATGCCATTTGGGTTGATGGTTTTAAGTTCCAACATTATTATTACTATATAGAGGCTCACATTTTTGTTTGTTAGGGCAGTAGTTAAAACTTGAAATGTTCAATGGTATAACTATAGGAGTTGAAATGGCAGATTACTTGTTTAATATTAATAGTAAATACAGGTTAGCATAAGTTACATATACTTAGTACTTGGGGTCACATATATGGTTTTATATGAACACAACTATATGGAACTGATCAATTACTCAGTGTTGAACAGAATGTACAAAGAATAGCTTGGGTCTCTACATACAGGACATGGATGTCTATCTGGATCAAGCCGAGGATAAAGGTGGGAAATAGAAGGAAGGGAAATCAGTGAAAAGAAGAAGTTACCTTCCCTAGCTGCCAAGGTTTTAGGGAGGAAATAACAATGCAGATAAAGAAAAAGATATGTAGGATGTTAAAGAGTATGTGAGACATTAATGGCAAATAAATCAGACTGCTGACATCCACAGGCTAAAAGGAGAAGGAAATAAGTCTTAAGGGAAAGGTGAAACAAGGAGCACATGGAAAGTAGTTCAAACAGAAGTAACGTGAAGCAATGGAGAACCATATTAACATCTCAGTCCAGAAGGGCAGCCCACCACAGAGGACGACAAATCTGAAAGGAACGGATCAACAGGGAGAATGTAGAAGAGGTCAAAATCATACAGTATTGGGGAAAATGGTAGGTGTAGGATAAAGCCACTAGATAACTGGAAATTGAGGAGACGGAGGATTCCCGATTAAAAAGCCAAGTAAGAACTTGCACAATATGAGGAACAGTGGGCTGATCATTCAAAAAACTCCAGCCCAGAGACCATTTATGCTGGTAAACTTCCATAGAGGAAGGGCAGATGGAACGAGCCAGAAACAAAGATACACATTGAGACAATCTTAATCTCCTCATCAAGGGCCAGATAAAAACCAAACATGAAGACGAAGGACAGGAAGAGGGGGGTGAAGAACCAATGACTGAGGTTGCCAAAGAAGGGAGGGAGACAGAGGAAGAGGTAGCAGAGGGGTAAGTTGGAGCTGGATAAGTTGAGGAAACTACAGCACAGCTGGCCAGTAAGGAGCAATCAGAAGGACCAGACACAGAGTGGTACAGATAATCGAAATCACCCAGTGAAGGAGTCAATTGGGAGGATAAACATATAGGTATTTGTTGGTCCAATCCTGACTGAAAACACTGACAGCCAGGGCAAAAGGAGACCAAAACAGAGGGAGGAATGTGGCAAATGCATCGAAGTGAGGAGTACCCCACTAAAATCAAAGGCATTGGAAAACCATAGGATTGAAAGACCACTCCATCAGATAGATTCTATCTAGACGGGAAAGACAAGCTGTGACAGGATTGAAAGTACCTGGAACATGACATGCAATGATATGAATATCCTGTGTGTGGACCCAGAAAAGAAGATCCAATGTGTGAAAAAATAGGGAACGAGAACGGGTGCCACCCTGGTGATTGAGATAAGCAACCTCTGTAGAATTATTACCAGACGACATCTGATCAGATGGAGAAAATTATCCAAGGCCTGATGGACAGCAAGAAACTCCAGTAAGCTAGCATATGAGCACGACCTAAGGGGATAAGTGTGGCCATGTAAGACCACATCCCCAAAAGTGATAGAAGCTTGCGAGCTGTAAGTGAGAGAGCAATAAAAGAGTAGTTAACTAAAAGCTCCATCAATCAAAGTTGAGGAGAAGGTTGGGCCCATTTGAGATGGGTGTTGAAAAAAACACCCATGTGGACCAGATATTAGGTATATCGAAGGAAAGGCTTCTCCAATTTGATTAACCAGCCCACTTGAGCCACCTTCTGGAGCAGCTGAAGAGTATGACAGGCAGACAAGCTAACAGTAACAAGTCATCCATATAATAATGAAAACGCATCCCAAAAGTATGAAGATGACGAGCAAAAGCTCGAACCACCCGACAAAAAAGCAAGCTTGAAGGGTAGTGCACAAAACTGATAAATCACCTCTCGATGGACAAATCAAAGATATGGTCGGGAATACTGAACTATCAGTATATGTAAATAAGCTTTCACAATGTCTATCTTCGTTATCCATAAACCTGGAGTAAAAGCAAACCTGAGGGTGAGAAACGATACCATGTTAAAATGAGGGAGATTGGGAAATTGATCGACGCAGGACAAATCTATGACAGACTGCTAGCCTCCAGTTTTCTTGGAGACAACAAACAGCCTGGAATAAAAACTGTGAGAAAAATGATTCACAGGTTCAATGGCCTATTGAAACAGAAGGTCTTGAACCACCTCTGACAGACAATGGGATCCCAAGGCAGAGGGAAAAAAAAGAGGTAACTGTGATGAAGGAGGAGGGATAAGAAATTGTAGGACAAGTCCATCTGAGAGTACCTGATTAACCCACTGATCTGTGATGAAATATTGGCAAAGGGGAATAAAGTTGCACAAGTGAGCTCCCACCAGTACTATTGGCATCATGCCGATCTACGTTGAAGAAAACAAGATACAGAACCTCTGGAAAAAGGAACAGGTAAAGGCTGAGAAGGACGGAAAACAGGAATAGGGGCTTTTCGTGATTCTGACTGCGACAAACTAGCTACTAAAAGAAGTAAAGGTAGAGTGTTGATGCAGGAATTCCACTCTTGATTCGAAAGCATCCTGTATATAGTTGAAAACATTACACCTAAGAAAAGGGGCTATACATAATTCCCCAAGATAAGTGAGTGGCAAACAAACCTGTAACAAGGCCGCATCATGACCCTTGAGATCCCAACAACAGAGAAACCATGTGTGTAAGGTAAAAGCTGAGAATGATAAACGAGCCAATGTGGAGGTAATAAGGGAGAGGCTGTCCCTCTAAAAAACCCTCAGGATTTTGGTGCATCACCTCTGAAAGGAGACGTATGGTAGATAAATACTGTAGAAGGAAAGTAAGGGTAAGATGAAGGTGGGAAACCAGCAAAACAGACCCCAACAACTGAGAATCTAGAAATGGACAGTCTGCATGATGGTATGACCAAGCAAACTGATCTGTAGCCCGTGGAGGGCAAGGTATGCTGGCACCCTCAACCAACTGGGAAGCGAAATGCTCAGCATTAACCCTAATATTTTGAAAAAAGAAGTATCATATAAAAAAGGAGGACAAGAATCATAGGAAAGTGGGGAAAGAGATAAAATATCACATTCCCGAGAAGTCATATCTAAATATGCCGTATTAGGCCTAGCTGATTCCGCGGGTGGGGCCTAGAAAGACACGGCAAAATCTGGTGGTGAAAATTGACTATGAAAATCATCAGAACAAACGAGTTTGGATTGTTCGTCAGGAATTGGGGCAACTTCAGGAGAAGGTGGTTGACCCATATAAATATCAATCTCTCAGCAAGTAATTGCAGATAAATCCAACAATGTGTCACACTCACCTGCAGCCAATGAAAAAGTGTGAGACCCGAAATGGTCACATTAACCTCAAATTCACGATAAATAATAAATCAAACAAATGTGCAAAAATAAAAATAAAGACTGGAAAATAAATTAAAAATAACTTTGTCAGTTGTATAATAAAAAACAATAAAAAAAACTTCGGAAGTATAACTGTTAAAAGTTAGAATGACGAAGCACATGAGAGCAAAGTTCAAAATATCTAAACACGAGCACTGCCAAATGAGGAATGATAATTTTGTAAAATTGAATAGAAGGAGACACATGCATAATGAGTGTGTGTGTGTGTGTGGTACTCTTTAACTGGTGGAGGGTTGTTGCATGATGATTTGCATGAGACACATATTTTAGTAAGTCACTTCCAATGGAGGGGAGACAAAAGGCTTGTGGCATGTATAAAAAATGTTGCATATAGAGGGCAGCACTGAACAAGAATAGCTTATTATGTGAGAGGAGGTAATGTACCATATCAGAAAGAAGATTTCCTCTTTTCATATCTTTATGACAAATGAAGTTTTTTTTTCCTGATACATGTCTTTATGTCAATTTACTAAGTTAATTATAATTATTTTAAAACAAAAAGTTTTAGAAGCAACATTATGTCATTTCCTAATAGTTATTTAATGTATTTCATGAAGAAAGATTTCAAATTGTTGAAATGTTCATATCTGTAGAATTCTGAAAGTTTTCATCTGTAAACAATACACTTGTAATTTTTCTTCCATCCTAAACTATAACTAATTTTACTAAAAACTTACCACCCCTTGAGAGGGTATCATCTATTTCTTGATTTTCAAGCATTCCCCTCATCTTATTCCTACTTAGTTTTTGTAACCTTTTTATGATGTTATACTGAATGGTTTGATCATTAATTTACTAATATTATATTTGGAAATAAAGTTAGTAAAAAAAAGAATTCTACTCTCAAGATAATAATAACAATAATAATAAAAAGTTCAGCCAATGTGTCTTCATTCTGGCTTCATCAGGGCTAGTAGTACAAGAACAAGTACTTGATTGTCAGTTTATCTAAATCCCTCAAGTATTCACTACAAATTCTTTAAAATGATGAAATGTTATTATATTGTATATTTTAGTCACAAATATATCCAGCAGGATAGCAAAGTAGTTAAAAGATCTCATCTGCCAAAACTTGCAAAAGTCAGAGGAAAATTAAAAATTCTGAAATAATATATTTCATCTTAAATTCTTAAATTAACAACAACAAAAAAAAAAAAAAAATTTAAAAGAAAGTGTTCTTTTCAAATAAATTATATTCACTTACCTAAGTCTCCATAATTAAGATCTTTAAATGATTCCTGTAAAGAAATGAACAAAACTGTGTTTTTATTCAGTATAAATATATTTCTACAAATTTTCCAACAAAGTAATATAATACAGAATGTATGAAGATGTCTTGAAGAGGTAATCAACAAAACTTTATTAGAAGTTTAGCATAGTAACAAATGTACACAGTTTCAACAAGGTTTTGCAATCTTCTGGTACAAGTAGTTTACACAGGTATAGGAATATATATATATATATTTTAAATATGCATTATGGGACAAAGAGTTTATATCCCCGAGATAGTTTCATAGCTTAGTAAAGGTATTTTAGCATGCTGAGGTGTTGGTTTAGAGTAAGGTTGTTTTATTCAATTAAGAATGCTTCCTTAATATTTCATTTTTTGATATTTCATTCTTTGTTTGAATTAGTGTTTTGATTAGATAAACTAGTTTTTTTTAGTCACAATATATATATATTCTTATTATTCAACTCTAACTTCTTGTTCTTCTTTCTTTTACGACTTTCTAATTCCATTCTTCATCATTTATCTCTCTCTCTTGCAAAGCAAGTAACATTCCTTTCTCAAACCAAATTTAACTCTATTTACATCACTAAAGATGTCTTAACAGAATTTCACAATCAACATGTGAAGAAGGAGAGTCTACAGTGTATTTTAAAAGAGTGTTGGGCTTACATGTTGCCTTGGGTAGTTATCCACAGCATACACACTACAAAAAACAAAGGAGAATCACAAGGAAAACCAGAGTTACAAAATAATTTTAGTTACCCCTCTTACTTCATCATCATGCAAATCAGTCATGTGATCTGAAAGTTAACATTTTCCTAAATTGAAAATGTATTTCCAATAATACTTACCTCCGCTGAAACTCTGCTATTAGTTGACTAACAGGGTTTCTTCTTTGCCTCTCTGAGCATTGGTCTGATTTTTTCTGACTTGCTCCAGTCTTTTATACCACACTCAATTGCCCTTGGCAATAACTGTCTTGTGATACTCTCCACCAACATCAATGCACCCTCTATCCTAGTACTGTATATAAGCACCTCATTTAGATAATGTTATCACTTTTTTGAGACTGATACCATCTCAGTCTCTAACACCAGCTCTTAGTGGGGAGGAAAGGTGGGGGAGTGTCAGCAAAGGTAATTATTATTGGAAATACATTGTCAATCTCAAAAAATGTTAACTTCCAAAACATACTTACCTCCACTGCCACTTATAGCTAAAATCCCACATTGAGAAGGTGGAGGGGCTGGTGAGGGCATTATCCATACAGAAAGCATATGCATAGATGATGGGTGTACTAAGATAAGAGTGGTACCTGAGTTGGGAAAGAACATTACATCCAGAACAAGTACGTTCTTCTCCCTGAACGTAGTTATCAAGGGTGGAATTGTACATGAGGGATCATCACAATAGGCCAGCCCCAACCAGATAGCTGGGGTTCCACTACTCGGAATTGGAATTAAAGGGTCTAAGTCCCTATAACTCACATAGGTGGCTAGAGTAATGTTATATATAGATATACTTTAATTGGATCCCAACCTGTAGCTATAGAGTGATGCGTTCTGAACCACCAGAATCACAACAACAAAGTAAGCAACACCAAAGCAAACAAACCTTCTACATATGAAGAAGCCTGAAGGGCAACACCCCAGGCTCGGAATGAAAGAATTGTGTATGCCTTAATCAACCAAAGGAATAAGACTCATCCAGTCTGGAATTATGAACATTCATCCTCACTCCCTAACTGAGTGGGCAAGGAGCCTTTCACTTGCTCCCAGAATTATGGGGAGGATATGGAACAACTGTGCTCAACCAAGGACCCAGGATGGGACCACTCTGTGTTCAGAAGTATGAGGAGATAGTGGATCTCCTTCCATGAATGATATACTGAACCAATATTGATCAAAAAGAAGGGCTATGCACATCCAAACTGGATAGCCGAATGTCAAATCTGAACCAGTATTACGAGTAGCCTCCCATGTAGGCTGGCACCACTCCTACCTAAACTTGGGAAAAAACATCTAGGGATCCAAGCAGGAAGGCCCCCAACTTTGCCCTCTTCTCAGAGAGTGGAGGAATTCATTCTAACAATCTGGAGGAAAAGCCTCTGTCCACCACCCCAGAGACTGGAAACCAGGTGTGGTAAGGACTCCCTAGTTCCACTAATAGAATCTGGGGGTTAATAAGCATTGGGGAGTCCTGATGAACAGTGCTCTGGAAACAGTGCAATAGGTGAACCAAGTTCTCTAAATTTTTAAAAGCAAACTGACTTAAATTTATTGAATCCGATGATCAGCAGGGATGGACAGGTTCCCCTTTAGCTTCACTCATGATAATCCATGAGTAGTGGTCCTGTATAGTATGGTAATACCAACTGATGAGCTTCTTGGTAGTCTTATTAAACACCTCATTTCTATAGAGCCTGTTGCAATCGGTAGTAATTATAGTGAAATAGTGTTTGCTAGTGTGTAATTAGTTTGACAAAAGCATACCTGTGTGGACAACACTCACCACAGAGTGAGATCCTGTGAAAACAAGGTAAGGGACCCTGAAAGGTAGAAATAAAAATACTCACCCCTTTGGATAATCTAGCAGAAATAGTTAAGATAGCTACAGGGGGGTAGGCAAAAAACCCTCAGATGAAGAGACTGCCAGATCAGGCAAATAATGTGAGGTAAAGGTACTGGGGGAGGTCCACATACCAGTCTGAACAGTGATCTCCAGCAGGCAATTTGACTGGGCTACTAAGGACATAGAAAAATCTGATTAGATGTGACTTCCAGAAGATACCTCACATTCAAATAGAGTCCAGAATAAAGTGTTGTCTAGTATCTCTAAAGGTATAAGTGCAGGCAACAAAACCTTCAAGGCCCTCACTGAACATAACCAAGATTGAAATCTGACTGGACATAGAGAGAAAGAGTGGGCAGATGAATCAGAGAAAAAGACTGAACCCCTTTCCTGTCTGACAGAGTTTTGGTTAAGAAGAACTGGTCTAAGGACATAGAGAGAATGAGAAAGTGGTCTGTGGACAAACAGTGCAAATCACTCTGACCAGTGATGTCTGTAGGTCAGCAGCCAAGAAAAATAAACCTGCAAGTAAAGGGGATACATGGCATATAAGAGTCAGGTCACAAAAGGGTGTAGAGAAAGAACATGTAACCTGAATCTATCTGTTAGGGACCAATTACCCAAAATGAAGTGAGGAATCTGGAGAGTACTGGAGACTCAAAAATATGTAGTTGTGATAATCGAACAGTAGTCTATAAGGCCACCCTACAAAATAGCGACTGTGGAAGATGCAAAACATCTGTCAAAGAGCCAAGTCAAAAAACAAGTTATGGTTGACACCAATGATTGAAAAAGGCTCAACCTCCTCTCAATACAACATTGCCGATATGCATGTCATTACCTTTGAGAAAGTGACCTTTGGACTAAGCAGAAACTGAGCCAGATATATATGTCCACCTTAGAAATTAACCCCAATGCCGTGTGAAAGACACCATAACTTCTATGCTAGAAGTTTGAGCTTCTGTATAGCCAGGTGCAACATATCAGATCATGGCTGCCTCCACAGAGAGAGCTTAAAAAGAAGTGTAAGAGTAGGACACACCCGGAAGGGGCTGCAGAAGCAGAAACCCAACCGTAACTGTCAATCTGGTGTGATCAACAGGATCTAACAATGGCTTGGAACAAATCATATTTCATACCCTGGGGTACATATGAAGTGGAGAGAAGGTTCAGAGTGATAATCTCATCCTGTCAAGAAGGAAAACAAACTGCCAAGGCCCAAAGATGAGGTACTGGAAAACAAGTTCCCAGTAGTTGGGTGATCCAATTAGAGGCCAACCCACAAATTAGAGTTGCAAAATGAGAGGCAATCCAACTGAACCTTGCGATGGAACATCTATTCTGTTGGAAGAAACTGTTTGGATTGAGACAATGGGCCTGCTACCACAGGCATCAACCCGTGGAACATAGAAAGCTAGAAGGGTGATAAGATTAGTCCTGAGAAAGGAGGTCCAAAATTTGAAAATAAGGAGCCCTAGACCACATGCCTCTTTGATGAGAAACACAAAACACCACCACAGAATAGTCAGAGGGAAGCCTGACAATTTACCCCTTAAGAAGCCCAGACCAAGAGACCTTGTCTGTTGAAAAGCAAGAAAGATGAAAACATTGTGTAGGGAATCCTCATCATCTGTTCACAGACTCTGGAATTCCTGACTGGTAAATGTACCCCATCCCTGAAGCAAGACATTTGTGAAGAGAATGGAATTCTGGGCAAAGTGGCAGTAGAGGAAGTCAAATGTGGTAGCTTCCCGACTTAACCCCTCGACATCGAAGAATGATCCAGACTAAGGATACTGGGGAAACCAGAAAATAGGTGTGTACAGTTCCTGGTCCCTTAAAGAAAAAATAAAAGGATCGCTTGTGTTCTCGGCACGAAGGATTCGAGTGATGCCAACATTCCCAGAAGAGAAAGAACCATCAGTGCAGTGGAAGCAGGAGGGGTTAGTAAGACTGTGGCATCCTATTCTATAGCATTGAACAGGGTGGGAGACAGCTGAGCCTGACTGAGAGATGAGATGAAAAATAAAAATACTCAGACTGATGACATATTAAGTTGTAGCAAGAATAGATGTCACAATCCCAAAAGAAAAACACCTGCCTGGGTTGTATCTGAAAGTAGAATCAGGATGTGATGGTCTAACAATTGACGAGATGTTGCCAGCAGTAACCAGTCATCCATGGAATGGTGTGTGCACAGTACAATGGAATTAAGGGAACGAGAAAACTCTACGATACAGCAGAACTTGTGTTAAGCCTATGCAAGACTGAAGCAAAAACTCTGAAACTGCAGTACCTGACACTTGTGCAGCACAAATGTTGATAGTGGTGGGACTCCATTGCTAAGGCAGAGTGCAGATAAGAGCCATCTACAACGAAGTTGGACCTTTTAGAGTTATTTTCAAAACTTTATTAAAATACTTTACTATTACTTACATCAATGGAATTCACATTAAAACACACTTTATA